TATTACAAGTTCAATCGCCTCTCGCCAATTCCACGTCACCACTCGCCTTGGCTTGCCTCTTTGACCTCGCCACGCCTTGCTGGAAATAGGTGCAGCCCCATTGCCTCGCCACGCCTCGTCGCCTTTGGCGAGAGGCGCTTGCCTTTAAGAACACTGGTACACTATTGCTTAAACTTCTAGCTCAGGAGGTGAATTTCATGGTTAGACGCCTAGATCAGATGTATAATACTCTAGTAGTGATTTTCAGATGAGAAGGTTGAAGAAAAGAACTATAGAGATACAAGGTATGAGTACAAATTCTTTGTTAATTTTGCCAAGGTGAGCTTTGCAAAACATAGCCCATCCAAAGCTTGGATAAAGGAGGAGAGCTAGGTTGACACTCATTGTAAATATAGTCAAACTAAGATGAATCCTTGAATAGAGCAGGACAAATAGAGTAGAGGCAGCCCCAATTAATTTAGGATTGAGGTGTTGATCGATATATGAATTGCTTTGTTGATTGTCCTTGAGGAAAGAAATAGCAAGGACAGAGCTGAGCTTTCTAAGGTTTTAGACCTTGGTGATCATGAAGGATTTGAAACACAACAAACATTTACCGGTTCTAGACTTCCTTCTTCTACACTGGACTTTATAAAGATTAACAAGGTAAACACTCTTCTCGCACCTTACAAACTAGCAGAACAATGACAAGAACTGCATCAAAATTTCAAAGGAAAGAGAACTGACTTAGTTGATTACACATGTATCTTTGTTCAGCTTAGACCCTAAATCCAAATATCATATTCATGTAGGAAAACATTACAAACAGTTGCTGGCACAACAATAAGTATGTTAAAAGACTTTTGAAGACTCATTTTTCCGTAATTTTCTTCTAGCTGCATATGTTATTGTCAGCAACAAATAAAGAAATTCTAGGATTAATCAGATAACAAAGAAATGCCACACCACAATCTATTCCCAACAACAGAATAAAACTTGAATCTTGATCTTCATTCATCCCAGAAACTTCAAATTAATTAATCAATACCAGTAACTAACACTAACAAAAATAATTGCAAAATTGAGAAAAGGAAATGAAGAAGTACCAAAAAGCAGTGACATTGAAGAAACCTTTAGAGGTAACCATTGAGGCAATTGCACCAGCAGCAAAAAAGCACTGACCCATCCTCAGAAAAAGTCCAGTTAAAGTACCAGGTGTGCCAGCAAAGTCCTTCATTTTATCTCCTCAAACTGAATCAACTTTTTACACTTCTTGATAGGTTTAAAGCAAACTCCCAACAAACCAAAATCCAAAGAACCTTTCTTTAACCATTTTAAAAGCAAAATCAAGTACAAATTAGCATTCTTGATCAAGCAACTACCAATTACAGCAACTTCCCAACAAAAAACTGAAGAATAGCTACAACCCCACCTTCAAGAATTACCAAAGGAATGTACCCTTTTTGGACAAGAACAAAAAAACAACACCCAACTAAGAAAAAATTATCCAAAGAAGCTGTCTTTAACCATTTCAGAAGCAAAATCAAACATAAAGTTGCATTCTTGATTAAGCAATCTACCAATTACTATGACATTTCAACAATAAACTGAAGAATCAAGAAATCACAGCTACTTCCTACACAACCCCTTCCAATGAAAAAGCCCCCAAAAGGCACCTTTTTTATAGCAAGATGAAAACAAAAACAGCAAGTTGCTTCAAAGATTTTGCTACCCCAGATGCTAAAATCCAAAAATCTGATGAGAATTTGCCAATTCTTGGAAAAGGGTATGATGAAAAAGTGATAGAGAAGGGTGGGGTGTTTTGTGGGGGGTGGGCTGGGGGGATTTGGTGGAAGAAAGATGAGAAAACAACTAGCTGGAAACTGGATTATTCAATCACCAGAATTTTCTAAATTGATATGTAGAGTACAACCACAAGCCACATTTTTGTCAAAAAAATGTTATTACATGACACTTTCCCAATTAAAGAAATTTTTTTAAAAAGATAAAGAGACTTTGTTCACATCAACTTTAATTTCACACCTTGAGACAATTGTTATTGGGGTGTGGGTGGGGTGTTGAGGTGGAGTATGTGATTAGTTTGACTCAACCTGAAAAATTTTAAAAATATATTCTAAAATTAATTTATCATTAAAAAGTAAATATTTTTATGGTTTTTTTCCCGTATAAATGATTAGATACAATAAAAATATAAGATAAAATGTTTATAATGTTTATTAAATACTTATCAAGTAATTTTTTTTTGGGAAAAGGGTCTGATATACCCTTCAAACCCTTCGTTATAAAAGTGGCTTATATATGCCCTTACCGTTATACAAACGGCTCACATATACCCATGCTGTTACAAAATGGCTCACATATACTCTTCATTTAACGGAATTTAAAAAATTAGCTTTAAATTTATATTTATTACTTCTTATTTTAAAAAAATAAAGTTATTTAGGGGTATATAGGATTCCTCTATCAAAGTTCATGGTATATTTTAATTTTTTTCATACATATTTTTGACTTCTTTTATTATAATTATTTGAGTTTCTTATTCTTATTTTTGTTTTTTCTTACATTCCTTAGTTTAAAGAAAAAAAAATTAAACTAATTTTTTTGTGTGTATTGTAATTTAATTTCGTATTCGAAGAAAAAATTTGATCATCTACAATAAGTTTTACAAGAATATTAGTGAAACATAAATAAATTTGATTATCAAAATAATAATTCTAAATTAGTCATTGAAAGGAAAAAAAGTCAAAAAAATATGTTTGACGAGAAATAAATTTACTCATATAGGATTATATTTTTTAGAAAAAAATAATAAAAATTTAGATTAAAATAATTTTTTTTCATTTCCATTAGAGGAAAAGGGTATATGTGAGTCATTTGTTTACAATTAGGGGTATATATGAGTCACTTTCATAACAAAGGGTATATCAACTCTAAATGACAAAGTTAAGGGGTATCTAGATCCTTTTCCTTCTTTTTCTTTTTTTGAAATTGACTAAAGAAAAGCGTGTCATTAAATTAAGATAGAAAATAAACTATTTTCTATGACCTAACCTCTATCATCTTCAACTTTATAATCATTATTCTTGTAATCTTTTACTTTCATAACTTCCTCTATTATATTCATATTAATGTCATGTTTATGATTATTGTGTTGTAAGTCTCTTTGTTACACTATAAATAGAGACGTAAGAGTTCATGTTGTATACATTTAAAGATTTGGTGAACACCTGGAAAAAAAGAAGGTTATCTTATATTGTTTTTCTTGTCTTATAATATTCTTATCTTCATTTTTATATTGTTCTTTTTTAGTTTTACAACATTCCTTTCATTGTCGTGGGATTTTCTCATTTTAGTATTATATTCAAATATGTCAAAAAATTTATAGTATTTGAATTTTTCTTAACAAAGGAAGGAAAGGAAACCGCTGACTTCTCCTCATCATTTGTTCCCTTTGAAACCTTTATTTTTTTATCTTTTGGTACGAGAATTCACATTAAAGCTAGACTATTTTGAATTACGTAGAGCTTTATTTGGGAAGAACGCTCTTTATAAAAACAAAAAAAACTTTTTTATATAATATACATATATATATATATATATATATATATATATTAATTTAATGCAAAAATTACAGGCAAAGTATTTCTTTGTCCCCAATTTTTATTTTGAGGGGCTAATAGAGATATTTAAAAGACCATAATTTTCAACTGCAATCAAGGCAAAGATTTGGTCACCAATTTAATACTAGAATCTAGACATCCATTCATTATTATTTGTTTAATAAAAGCTCCACTTTTAATATCATGAGTGGCTTGAAGGAAGTTCCAATATTGACTTTTGATCCTACATCCCTACCTAAAAAGATATTTGACCTTTTTTTTTTTAAAAAAAAGAGATAACTTGTTAATAGTATATCTAAGTTTTTTTTTTCTTGAATTCATTACCTAAATTATTATTTTTTAGTTTGAGAAAGATATCTGTGTTTTTATATCAATCACTCTTATCATGGTATTTGTTAATACATTCTCTTTTTTATTTAAAAAAAATTCCATATCACAATCTAAATGAACAATATATTTGACCTTAATAAAAATTAAATAAATTGTTAATATTAATTAAAATTAAAAATAAAAAAATATTATAAAAAATATTTTCTTATATAATAAAATGTCAAATATATTTCTTCTCCGACGTCATCACTTCCTCCCCCTCCCCCCCTAAACCCCCACACTATTTTTAATTTTTTTTATTAAGTTTAAGTTGTAAAAGTATTTCATTTTTTTAACTTCATCTTCTCCTTCATCTCCTCCCCCTCCTCAAATATTAATTTAGATAATATTTTATTTTCTTAAAAAAATAATTCTATCCATCCCACTTTATCCTCCATTTACAATTTTTTTCAAGTATTTAGATATACATATTGAAAATATTTTTTACTTGCCGCCACAAGATATCTTTTGTTTTCAAATAAAAGAGAGACTGCATTACACACCCCACTGAGCTGTGAGGTGTGTTTCACAAACTAAAAAGTGATAGTTTCAATAGTTTAAGTATGAAACTTGTTTTTGAAACTATATCTCTTTTTTTATATATACTTTACTAGTCTTATTTGTAGTTAATAGAGTTACAGTTTGACTAAATACCGAGTCGAGGTATTAAAGTTAGTTCTTTAGATTACAGAAATCTCTATGCATCCGCTCCATATAAAGTGTCATGTATATTGTACGAGAAACAATCAACTTTGACGATAAGAGGTACGTAACGTACACATGAAAAAGATCCAAAAAAAAACAGAGAAAAAAATTAACCTCTCATATCAGATTTTATGCAAAGCCAAGAACATAAAGCATTGCTGCATTCCGAGAAGTTTTGATGTAGATAGTCTACCTTGACATAAACATCGATATAGATATAATCATGTGACCCTAGGAGATACTATTACTTTGGAGGTTCAAAAAGACCATTGAAGAAGCATGCCACAACTCTATGATTTACGCTTGTCATTTGATAGGATCTGTTACAAAATCAGACTGAGAGAAGTAACAAAATTGAAGGTATTTGAGACTACAAAGATATGTTTTGTTGCAAACTTGAAGGAAGTCAGCAATGTTAACAACCAAACGATGCTTAATCGGTTCAACATCGAGCCATTGGTTATAATGCACAACTTGAAGGCCACCACTTTGATCTTGAAGCAAGATTGTGAAGAAAGAAATATCTGTATGCTTATCGGCACATTCCATGGCTTTCAAGTGGTCTCGTTTTAGCCCGAGACCCTCCGATAGAGTTTCTCCTAGTTTTATGACATGTTTTAAGTACTCAACATATGCTTTCCTGGACACCAGGAAGATATCAGAGATTACTAAGTTACAAAATCTGATAATGATTCAAGCAACATTGTACACTTTTACTCTATTCTAGTAACCGTACTATTACTCTTCTATTCCCTTTTCTTCTATTTATGTTACTATGTGTTGTTTCTTGTACTTTGAGTATAACATTGTTATGATTGTGGTTGTTGTTGGCTTGTGTGTATCCACCTCGAGTCAAGAGACCAGGTTAACAAAACCAGTAACCAAAGTTACTGAAGTTAGAAACGGAAAGTAAAGAACACAGAAGTTTACGTGAAAACCTACTTGCTTAAGGGAGGAAAGTAAGACAGCACGACCTGTCACATAGGATTTCTCAAAGCTCTACTAAACTTCAAGCAACTCGTAAATACAGACTCCTAGAACATGACTGACATAGTATTGCAATTTAAGGGCAGGAGAATACAGAGATACCTGCAAACTGGTGGCATTTCTTCAGGTTCAATTTGACCAGAAACCATCCTAGCTATGCTCAACGAATCCCTCCAATTCACGGTCTTTGATTGGTATAGTTGTGTTAGAATGAGAAAATTTTTGATAATTGACAAATACAGGAACATACGAAAGAAACAGGTTGTTCGACGTGTTCTTTACAGACCAAATCCGACTTGAATAAGGAGAACGTCAATCCCGTGAATTAGAAGATATAAAGCTGTGGAAGTATTGCTTTTTCGACAAGCAACTAGTACAGAAAGTTTCTTTTATAAAGGAGTTCGCAACCAAGTTAAAAAAGGAATTAGCGATCAATAATGTTTTTTCTTATTTAATTAAGGAAAGTTTTGTGGAAGGTTTTCTTATTTAATTAAGAAAATTTTGTGGAAGGTTTTCTTATTTAATTAAGAAAATTGAGTGTAAGTTTTCCTGGCAACTTATTTAAGAAAAACAAAGTATAAGTTTTCCTTGAGGTGGCAGCATAAGTTTAAGAAGAACGAAGAAGCGGTTGTGGCAAAGACAAACAGTGATAAAGAATTCAAGTTGAACTTAACAAGGTTTTGTAGAGGCAAAGACAAAGTTGATTCAGATAAGGAGTTGAAGATGCGGCGAAGACAAGTTCGAGTTGAACTAAGAGTTCCACGCAAATGAATTAAACATTAAATAATAATAATAATAATAAAAAAAAGTGGTAAGTGTATTTTTACTCTTTATAAACTAAAAAATTAATTAATATAAGTTTGGCACACCATTAACATTTATACCTAAAAAATTTTCTGATTATTATCATTTCATTAAAATCTAATTAACGCTCTTTGCTTCAAGTTCATTCTATTTATTTGTTTTTAGAAAAAAATTACTAATCGTGCAGTTCTAATTTTACTCGAAAATCTTAAGAAAATCTATATATTACTATATAGTTGGGAAATGAAAATGGTGATTTCCCACCTCCAAAACTCAACATCTATATATGTTTTTTTTGTTTTTTTTGTAGAATTTTTTAACTTTCATATGTATTCAGTAAAATTTTGATTTCAAAATGATTAAAGTACGATTTATGAGTCTTAAATAAGGGAAGATGAGGAGATTTTCGGACTGAATTACTTCTTTTACTATATACAATAATTATATCTTAAATAAGAAGAGAAAGAGATTCAATTTAATTTGATAGAGTAAATAACTTTAATGACTCAAAGAAAAAAAAATATAGAATAAAGCTGATAAGGGATCTTAGCATTGAATAAATAATAAAACGACTTCTATGGTAAATCCCCCATGCCTCCCTCATTTTTGTTCACAAATTCAATGAGATCTCTTTGTATCATTTTGCCAACCGCTACTAGAAGTACATATACCATTATAAGTATAAATTATATCTAGTTTGCTCTTTATTTTTGTCCTTTCCAGCTTTCTACTTGACCACTCAACTTTTAATCTAACTATATACAGTGGTCTCTGAGTTCATTCCAATTATATTATGGTAGTTTTTAAATTTTTTTCTATCTTCAGAGAATTTTGTATTACATGTTGAAATTAAATTAAATCAATTACCAACGATGATGATGATATTATAGTTTTCTTTCTATTTAATTCCACGAGTTGATGATAATATTTGGTAAGTTTTTATCTAATAGATTCATTGTTACTTTATCGTTCGTAGACATTTATTTGCATATTGCCCTTTTATATGCATTTATTTATTGTATCATATAAATTTTGCTTTATATTGTTTTCTTTTTTCTACCATTAATATCTCACAAATGATTGTGTTGTATTTCATAATTCAATTATATGTATATAACTTGACAAAAATTTCTTTGTCAAAATTTCCAGATGGCAGAATTAATAACTTAGAATGAGCCAAAGAAGATGAAGGGTACATATACATGTAATTATTATTTATAAATGTCAATTAAATATTTAAACAATGATCATTTTTTATAAATACTTTTATTTTGTAGGTGTAGACTATGAAAGATAGTGATCTACTAGTCATCCAAGGAAGACATATGTTGATCGAATTTCTCTACAACAATTACAAAATACCACTCTCCTTCGACGACAAGTTCTCGATATGTATGCATTTGTAAAAAAAAAAAAAGTGGAGGATATTATTCCTTAAAAATAAGGCGGAAACTTTGGCATTAAATATTTTTTAACTTTAATGTCGAATTTAAATAATGTGTTCAAATATATTAAAAAAGAGCTTTTAACAAGTTGAATACTTGGTATATTATAAGAATTGTATGATTGAAGTCTCTATATTATTAGTTTACAAATTCACTTGATAACAATATTTTTGTATGATGTGTCTTGATCATAATATTAGTTGAATATGCTCATTGTTCATTGATTCGAACTTGTATTTTACACATCGTACACTTATATTTTAAAAGTATTTATACTAATTAGCACGGTATACACGTGCAATGCATGTGTTCGAGAACTAGTTAGACAATAACCATGAAGTGAGATGGAAAAATACCCCGTCGTCCCTTTTTACTTGATAATTTTGACTTGACATGTATTAAGAATAATAACAATGATTGATATAGTGAATTTTTCATTTTATCCGTTAGAATTTGTGCGTCCACTATCAGTGAATGGACCAGGTCCCTTGACACACTCAAAATATGAACAACTGTAAATAAAGGCAAAATATCAACACCAGTAGTTTACGTGGAAACCTCCTTACTCAAGGAAGTAAAACCACGACCTGTCTCACAGGATTTCAATCCGTTTCCACTAGTCTTCACAAGCAAAAGTAAAATCGATTACAAAAACGTGAGAAAAAACTATTAATCTCACAACCAAGCAATAACTCTATTGCTTGAAGAGCCTAAGCAGATTTCACTCTTCCTACTAAGCTATCACCACTAGACAACTTAGGATTCAACTAAGCAACAGGTTGCCCACTAAATCACCACGCTCCGAATGACTTAGGATTTTTACTAAGCAACACTCAAGGCTGCCCACTAAATCGGTTGGACTCAACTGATTTATATTTTCACACCAAACAACTATCTGATTCCTTTATAAATAGAGGAACAGGCTTACAATTTACGTGCAGAAGAAATAATCCTAAGACAACTAAGCTTCCAGCTTTTTCAGATTTGAGTTGATCTTGAGGATACTTCTTCACTCCTTTTGTAAGCCTTTGCAAGAGTTCTTGAGATACTTTTCAAGTTGCAAAAAATAATTGTGAATATAAGGATGTTTTGTTCATGTAGAAAGGTCACAAAATGTAAAACAATCCCATTGGCTGAGGTTTCTGGCGCGTCTGCCACTTCTGCTACTGATGGAGACTGTGCACCAACTTTTTGTACTTTCTCCAGCTGGCAGCCAAAAAACATATTGAGCCAAGAACTAGGTCCCTTCATAAGGTCCCTGAGTTTGTCAAATCATCAAAACTACAAATAACATTTTTTCCTTTTTGATGATGATAAACAGTACACCAGTGTCTACATGTTCTTCCATGTTTCGTTCCCCCTGTCGATAAAGACCTGACAGTTGCATGTACATTTGCACAATGAATCAGGTCTCTTCACAAAGTCTATGAGTTTGTCAAATTATCAGAAAGTTTTTCAAATTATCAGAACTCCAAATAACATTATCCCTATTAATTGACTCATTAACTCAATATTAATAAATTGAGAGGTATAATAGGAAGGAAAAGATTGACCTTTCCTTGATTTGTCAAAAATGACAAGTAAAAAAGAAAATCAAATAAGGAAATATTTAATATGTTAAAAACCGTGTATTGTTGGGGTAATGAAAGATAAGCCAGACCAACAAGGGTTGTGATGGAGCGGTAAGTTTCCTTTCTCCTTAACCCAAGAGGTCTCGGGTTCGAGACCCCTTGAGTACAAAGTCGCATGTTTTACCCAACTCCAATACATTGTGATAAAGTTTCACATAAAAGTTCAAAGCACTATTACTTTCAATAGTTCCTTCAACATGAAAATGAACATTATTTTACCGCAAATCACAAACTATGACATATATGAATGATGATAGTCTTTTCTGATGGTTTATGGTTATTTTCGCTTAGCGATTCTTCAGAGTCTAACAAGATCAAGACTAGTCTTATCAAGTGGTTTAGACAAAAAGTATGAGACATAATCAACCACTAGAACTTGTTTATACAGTGGGGGGTTTTGTTCTGATATGAGCTCTTTGATTGGACCAAACATCTTTGGAGGTGTAGAAACTCCACTGAAGAAGAATATAATTGAAATCCTTGGTTCTGCTGCCTCATTTGCTACAACTCTATGAGTTGCACTTACAAACTTGTCATTTGATAGGATCTGTTACAAAATCAGTTTGAGATGAGTAAACAGTTTGTGAAAAAAATGAGAACAAAAAAGTTTGTGTTCTGTTGCAAACCTGAAGAAGGTCACCAATAATAACAACCAAACCATGTTCAATCGGTTCAACATCCGCCCATTGGTTATCACACATGACTTGAAGCCCACCAATCTGATTTTGAAGGATAAACGTAAGGAAAACAGGATCCGTATGCTTACCAGTACCAAGAGTTAGCTCTGGCTGTGGGCATTTCGGGTAGTAATGGCATGCCATCCCTTGTTCTTTGGCACATTCTGTAGCTTTCAACTGGTCAGGTTTGAGCCCAAGACCTTCTGATAGTATGCCAAAAAGAATTTCCCCTAGTTTATCGACATGATTTGTGTACTCAACGTATTCCTTCCTGGACGTTTAAGAAAATATCAGAGACTACTAAGTTATAAAATACCATAACTATCAAATAGAAATGAAGATACATAGTTTACCTGCAAACTTCTGGTAATTCTTCAGGTTCAATGTGACCAGAAACTAGCCCAGCGACATACAATGTATCCTTCCAGTGTGCAGTCTTTCCTTCTGTTTTGTACACATGAACATTGCCATCATATCTAACTCGTCTGGTTGTTGGATCAGACGAATAGTACTCTTTCTTCACTTCGACATCTTGTTCATGAAATTTACGAGTCCCATCAATCATTCCTTCCAAAACTCTTGAAGGAATCCCATGATTTATCACTTGGAAAAGTCCCAGTGTCTCAGATACTTCCCTTATTTCATCAACAATGATCTTACGCCGATCTTCAACTTCAATGCCACTTAGATCCACCACCGGAACCTGTAGAGTTGACTTGCACATATTCAACTCCTCAGCAAGTTCATGAGGTGGCCTAATGAAAATTCTTGGAATCTTGACTATTCCAGAATCAACTAGTCCCTTAACACCAGCTTTTGTATCATCAATAGCCTTTTTCTCATCCGATGGATCATAATCCATTGCTAAATTCAGCTTTAGAAAGTTTTACAAAATTTGGTACAAAGAGGGTATTACTTAGATGGTTTAATTTTCATAAACATATTAAACATCCCATTATAGTTTTATAACATATTCCTTTAGCATAAAACAAAGATTTGTTAAGAGTAGTAGTTCATTAAAAACAAATAGTAGTTGAGTAGTTGTAATAATTGATATTAATCAATTGATCAAGTTATTATCAACATTGCAAGTTGTATTATTCAATCCTTAATTACAATCATTTTATAATCAAGAAGACAAAAAGACCAGAAGCATGCACGCGTACAAAACACTCTCCCTTCACCTTCTCAAAATACTGGTTCAACAGTCCCTTTCAACACATGATGTTTATGTGCAAACCTGAAAAAAAATCACGACCTATCACGTAGTATTTCACCAACAAATTCACTAAACACGAACAAGGTTTTAGATTACAAACACCAGAGAAAAAAAAAGGCTGTAAGTTAGAGGAACGATAAGCGGATGAATGATGATAGTGCATACATTATTATTATTAGAGGAACGAAATGAAGGATACATAAGCAATATGTTCTTGAGATTTATCCCTTTTTATTTGATGATAAACAACAGAATAGGAAAGATGACATTATTGTCCAGCGAATCACAAACTCTGCCTCCGTCTCTCTTCACAGTCTTAAAAGATCAAGACCAGTCTTATCGAGAGGCATCAAGAAAAACTTGGTAACATAATCAACTACTTGAAAATCTTTATATAGTGGAGGGTTTTCTTCAGATATGAGCTCTTCGATTGGACCATGCATTTTTGAAGGTGCTAAAAGACCATTGAAGAAGCATGCCACTGAAATCCTTGGTCCTACCTTTTTCGCTACAACTCTATGAATTGCACTAACAAACTTGTCATTTGATAGGATCTGTGACAATCAGATTGAGACGAGTAATAGTTTGTGAAAAAATGAGAACAAAAAAGTTGTATTTTGTTGAAAACCTGAAGGAGGTCACCAATATTAACAACCAAACCATTTTAGATTAGAGTACTCTGGAAATAGTACAAGGAATTGTTCTACTATAAAAAAGTGTATATAATAAACCTATTGCAATAGTTGAGGGTTTTTCTTTAATCATTTTCCGTTGATAAAGGGAATGAAGAGAAGAGGGGAACACTCATAAGGGAATGAAGAGAAGAGGGGAACACTCATAGGGAACAAGCAACACCACTGCATCACATACTGGATTTTGTGCAAAGCTAAGAACACAAGGAACAGTATATTTAGTCTTTCTAAAATTCATCAGTTGTTATCTTTAGTCGACAACAGCATGACTGACATAGAAATGCAGTAGGTAGTAGATAGTGTTGTCTTGCTTATTCTTCCTTATTAGTAGTCGTAGTATTTCTTCTATAGTTTCTTGTCCTCAGTAGTTGTAGTATTTCTCTCATAGCTTTTACATATCCTCAACTTTCTGTTACTATCTACTGTCATTTGTGTTCTGATTATCGTTCTATTTCCTCCTTTTTTTCAGTGTATGCTTTTCCTTAAGGGGTGTATCGGAAAGAATGTAAGGTCTGTGTAGACTCCACTACTGGAATTACTAGGTATGTTTTTGTAAATCATAAATGCCCACATGACTTTTGAAAAGATGCAGAAGCAAGAACGCTGAATAACAACATCATCGTCATCATACTATGATGATATTAGTGAAAAGATCCTAACTTATAAGTTGAATAACCAAAACCTCGAAGATACAATGGATCTCATACGAAACTGATGCGATATTTGTTAAAAGGGGATGATTAATGATGATAGTCCATACATTATTATCCCTTTATTTGGAAAAAAAAACGACATTTATTGTACAGAAAATCACAAACTCTGGCATTGTTCTTTTATCTGATGGTTTATGGTGATCTGTCTCTCTTCAGTCTGAAAAGATCAAGAGCAGTCTCATCGAGAGGCTTCGAGAAAAACTTGGTAACATAATCAACTACTTGAAAATTTTTATATAGTGGGGGGTTTTCTTCAGATATGAGCTCTTCGATTGGACCATACATCTTTGAAGGTGCTAAAAGACCATTGAAGAAGGATGCCACTGAAATCCTTGGTCGTATTTTGTTTGCTACAACTCTATGATTTGCACTTACAAACTTGTCATTCGATAGGATCTGTTACAAAATTAGATTCAAATGAGTAACAAATTTGTGAAAAAATCAGAACGAAAAAGTTATGTTTTTTGTTGCAAACCTGAAGAAGGTCACCAATATTAACAACCAAACCATGTTTAATCGGTGTAACATCGGCTAATTGGTTGTCATGCATGACTTGTAGCCCACCACTCTGATCTTGAAGCACAATCGTAATGAAGCTAGGATCTGAATGCTTAGCGGTACCAAGAGTTAGCTCTGGTTGTGGGCATGCCGGGTAGTAATGGCATGCCAACACTTGTCCTTTATCACATTCCGCGGTTTTCAAGTGGTCAGGTTTTAGCCCAAGAGCTTCTGATAGTAAGCCAAGAAGAATGTCGGCTAGTTTCTTGACATGATTTATGTACTCGAGGGATGTTTTCCTGAAAATGACCATAAACATTAAACAGGAGAGATAGAATTGAAATTCAAGTGCAGAGTATTTACCTGCAAACTCGTGGTATTTGTTCGGGTTTAGAAACTACAGCAGAGATGAAGAGTGTATCTTTCCAGCTAACACTTGTTCCTTTTGTTTTGTACACGTGAAGATTACTATCGTATCTAACTTCTCGAGTTAGATCAGACGAATAGTACTCTTTCTTCACTTCAACATCTTGTTCATGAAATTTACGAATCCCATCGATCATTCCTTCCAAAACACTTGAAGGAATCCCATGATTTATCACCTGGAGAAATCCCCATTTCTCACATGCTTCCCTTATTTCATCAACAATCTTCTTACGTCGATCTTCAAATTCTACGCCACTTAGATCAACCACCGGAACCTGTAGAGTTGACGACTTGCACATATTCAATTCCTCAGCAAGTTCATGAGGTGGCCTAACGAAAATTCTTGGAATCTCGACTACTCCAGTATCGACGAGTCCCTTAACACCAGCCTTTGTATCGTCAATAGCCTTTATCTCAGCCCATCCTTCTTCATAATCCATTGCTAATTCACTTCCAGATCGTCTTCCTTCTTATTTTCAACAAGGCTCACTAACTCTACATATATATATTTTAATTAGATTGACGTCAATGTAGTACGTAATATTTCTATAATTAGACACCAACAATACAACAAAGAGATATTTAATGTTACTTGGTCATCGATGGCCTCCTTCCGTGACACGAGCTCAAGCTACACAGGGGCGATGTACCCTCTTATTGTATGACATGATACATAAATATGCCCTTTAACTTGGTCTCACATGATATCTATGTCGTCCAACTATACAAGTAGACACTTGCATCATGATTTTACTTCAAATATTTTAAATTTTAGGAAAATACAAATGCCAAAACAGAGCATTTGCAAATACTAAAATACTATTCAATTAAATATTTTTATTTATACATATTGGATAGATTTCATAGTACAAATATATAATAATGTAAACAAAAAATATTGATTTATTCGAACGCGTAGCCAATATTGTAGCTACTACCTAACTATAGTAATTGTTGCAAGATTGGACTTGATGACGTTTTCTTTGTTTAATAGGACAACTTATATTAATAAGTACACCCAAAATAAACTAAAATCATGACACATTTTTTGGAAGTAAGCATGCAGGCTACCAACAAAATTGAGGTCACAGACAAGAAATTTCATTTAGGGGTAACTTTTTTTTTGCCTCGAGTTTATAGTTGATTCTTACAACAACATATTTATTTATTGTCAACGTGAAGAGTTAGAATTATAAGAGCATAAACATGAAATTAAGACATGATAATTATGTGAAGTTAGAAATGTATCTAGTTGGTTATCTAATTAAACCAATGACGGTTAATAAAGTAGGTTTATATGGGCAATAATAAGTCGATGTTGAAACTGCATACTAGGCCATGATCACTTGAAAGATCCAATGGAACTGATTTGATAATGTATAACATTATTAGAGGAACAAGTTGAAGGATACATAAATGAAAATAATCTGTTTATCATTGTACTGTGAATCACAAAATCTGATCGATATGGATGATAGTCTTTTCTGATGGATTTTGCTGCTGCTTGGTGACGTTGTGCTCGGTCTCTATTCACAGTCTGAAAAGATCAAGACCAGTCTTATCAAGAGGTTTGGAGAAAAATTTAGCGAGATAATCAGCTACTATAAAGTCTTTATATAGTGGGGGATTTTCTTCCGATATGAGCTCTTTGATTGGACTGAACATCTTTGGAGATTCCGAACTGAAGAAGCATGCCACTGAAATCCTTGGTCCTACCTTATTTGCTACAACTCTATGAGTTGCACTTACAAACTTGTCATTTGATACGATCTGTTACAAAATCAGTTTGAGTTGAGTAACAATTTGTGAGAACAAAAGAAGTTGTGTTTTGTTGCAAACCTGAAGAAGGTCACCAATATTAACAACCAAACCATGTTTAATCGGTGTAACATCGGCCCATTGGTTATCACACATGACTTGGAGCCCGCCACTTTGATCTTGAAGCAGAATCGTAAGGAAAACAGGATCTGTATGCTTACCAGTACCAAGAGTTAGCTCTGGCTGTGGGCATGCCGGGTAATAATGGCATGCCAACATTTGTCCTTTGTCACATTCGGTGGCTTTCAAGTGGTTTGACTCTAGCCCGAGAGCTTCTGATAGTAAGCCAAGAAGAATGTCTTCTAATTTTATGACATGATTTATGTACTCGAGGGATGTTTTCCTGGACATTAGGAAAAAATAAGAGATCAATAAGACATTAGGAATTTCTACTCTAGATCTGCCACTGGCAACACGTATCTAATTATCAACGAGAAATGAAGATAAACCACTATACTGAGACACTGACCTCTAATTCATAAGTCTGAAGATATAATGCAAAAACATCAACACTGTGTATGCATCAAACAGGACAGATATAGAATTGAAATTCAAGTGCGGAAAAAACATAGTTACCTGCAAACTTCTGGTATCTCTTCAGGTTCAATGTGACCAGAAATTAGGCCAGAGATGTATAATGAATCCTTCCAGTTTGCAGTCTTTCCTTTTGTTTTGTACTGAAGAAGATTGCTATCATATCTAACTCGTCTAGCTGTTGGATCAGACGAATAGTACTTTTTTTTCACTTCAACATCTTGCTCATGAAATTTACGAGTCCCATCAATCATTCCTTCCAAAACACTTGAAGGAACCCCATGATTTATCAGTTGAAAAAATCCCCATTTCTCAGATGCTTCCCTTATTTCATCTACAATCTTCTTACGCCCATCTTCAACTTCTAAGCCACTGAGATCCACCACTGGAACCTGTAGAGTTGACTTGCACATATTTAACTCCTCAGCAAGTTCATGAGATGGCTTAATGAAAATTCGTGGAATCTCGACTATTCCAGAATCAACAAGTCCCTTAACACCAGCCTTTGTATCATCAATAGCCTTTACCTCATCCGATGGTTCATATTCCATGAGACTCTTCAGTGCCGGATAAATTTTCTTCTTAATTTAAACAAGGTCAACTCTTGAATATTCAGAAGAAACATACGCACGTTGTCTCTATTTAATTGTCCATTTTTGACTTGCTACTGAGTTTATCATTTTACCCCGTGGTTCAACCCTTTCCAAAAACATTATCTCTCTGAATAAATCACCGGTATAATAGGTAAAAAAAAAATTATCGACTTGTCGAAAATGAAAAGTAAAAGGGACAGAGGGAGTATATGTTTTATCATTAGTTTGAAGTTAAAGACTGTAGATCTTGGTATCACTCTGTCCTAGAATTCTGTAAATATTAGTTTAATGTTTTTTTTTTACTATATACTAATGAAGTTAGGTGGACATATTGCAAAGAAACCATAAATACATTGGGGTTAGATGCAAAAGGAGTAAGAAGGCTGACCATATGATTAAAAAAAAGTTCACACATTGGTAACAGAAAGAGTGCAGAATAAATAATGGGGATAAGCTGCATATTTCTCCAGTACTCATGTGTAAAATATTATTGTACAGATAAGAATAATCATAGGTTTTATGAAAGACTACACCGATGGCGTTTGTTGCCTAGTAGATTAGGACGTGTTAACGTCTCGTACATAAAGAACACGCAGTTTCTTGGTTCAGACTCAAATAATATTAACAATGTGAAATATGTATTGAAGCTAAAACAACTAAGAGATCAGTTAATAGTGATCACTTGAATGCTAAAAGGATATGATAGTGCATAACATTATTTGAAAATAAACAGCAGAATAAGAAAGACATCCACTGGATCCCATACATAACTGATCTAATTTTGCGAGAAGGATATGATAGTGCATAACATTATTTGAAAATAAACAGCAGAATAAGAAAGACATTGTTAAAATAAGATTATTGTACTGTGAATTGCAAACACTGACATTGTTCTGTCTGAATGATGATAGTATTTCCTGATGGTATATGGTTATTTTCGCTGCATCTTGGCGATGTGGCTATCGGTCTCTATTCACAGTCTGAAAAGATCAAGACCAGTATTATTATCAAGTGGCCTGGACAAATACTTATCGAAGTAATCAGCTACTAGAAAGTCTTTATATAGTGGGGGGTTTTCTTCTGATATGAGCTCTTTGATTGGACCATACATCTTCGGAGGTGAAGAAACTCCAGTGAAGAAGCAAGCCACTGAAATCCTTGGTCCTCTATTTTTCGCTACAACTCTATGAATCACACTTACAAACTTGTCATTTGATAGGATCTGTTACAAAATCAGATGGAGATGAGTAACAGTTTGTAAGGAAATGAGAATTAAAAGTTTGGTTTTGTTGCAAACCTGAAGAAGGTCACCAATATTAACAACGAGACCATGTTCAATCGGTTCAACATCGGCCCATTGATTATCATTCATGACTTGGAGCCCACCAATCTGATCTTGAAGCAGAATGGTAAAGAAAACAGGATCTGTATGCTTACCACTACCAAGAGTTAGCTCTGGTTGTGGGCATGCCGGGTAGTAATGGCATGCCAACGCTAGTCCTTTGTCACATTCCGCAGCTTTCAAGTGGTCAGATTTTAGCCCAAGAGCTTCTGATAGTAAGCCAAGAAGAACGTCCCCTAGTTTTGTGACATGATTTTTGTACTCAAGGAATGTTCTCCTGGATATTAGGAAAAGATCAGAGATTACTAAGTTACAAAAACTTCAACACATTGTACGCTTAAAAATGACAGATGTAGAATTAAAATCAAGCGCATAAAATACAGAGTTACCTGCAAACTGGTGGTATTTCTTCAGGTTCAACGTATCCAGAAACTAGCGCAGAGATATGTAATGAATCCTTCCATGTTGCAGTCCTTCCTTTGTTTGTCAACACTTGAAGATTGCTCTCATATCTAACACCTCTGGTTGGATCAGATGAATAGTACTCTTTCTTCACTTCAACATCTTGTTCATGAAATTTACGAGTCCCATCGATCATTCCTTCCAAAACACTTGAAGGAACCCCATGATTTATCACTTGGAAAAAGCCCCATTTCTCAGATACATCCCTTATTTCATCGACAATCTTCTTACGTCGATCTTCAACTTCTATGCCACTTAGATCCACCACCGGAACCTGTAGAGTCGACTTGCACATATTCAACTCCTCAGCAAGTTCATGAGGTGGCCGAATGAAAATTCTTGGAATCTCGACTATTCCAGAATCAACTAGTCCCTTAATACCAGCCTTTGTACCATCAATAGCCTTTACCTCATCCGATGGATCATAATCCATTTCTAGTTCACCTTTAGACTCTTCAGCAAGGCAACTCTTGAATATATCCTAATAATTAGTTTGAAGTTAAGACTGCAGATCTGGGGAATCACTTTGTCCTAGAATTCGTTAAAATAGTACTTTAATGTTTTTTACTATAAAGTATAAACTAATGAAGTTAGGTGGACATACTGAAAAGAAACCAAAGATCCACCACATGGATCTCTGAAAAATCCTATTGGGGTTAGACACAAAAGAAGAAAGAAGGCTGATCATATGATTAAAATATATTTCACACATCGGAAACAGAAAGAGTGCAGAGTAACCTAAAATATCCAAACAAAATGCTGATATTTTATTCAATATGAAATGCTTACATATAAAGGGATAAGCTGCATATTCTTCCAGTACTCGTATGTAAAACATTATTACAAATGAAAACATACTTTAATCAACAACAATCATCGGTCTTTAGAAGGACTATACTGATGGCGTTTGTCGCTGCTTGGTAATGTAGATTTTTTATGTTTCGTCAGAGTCTAAAAAGGTCAAGTGCAGATGTACCAAGAGGCCTGGACATAAACTTAGCAATGTAATCAGTTACTGTAAATTCTTTATACAAAAGGGGATTTTCATCTGATATTAGATCCTTGATTGGACCGTAGATCTTTGGTTGTGCAAAACTACCATTGAAGAAGCATGCCACTGACATTCTTGGTCCTACCCCATTCGCTAAAACTCTATGATTAGCACTCACAAACTTGTCATTTGATAGGATCTGTGACAAAACCAAATTGAAATAAGTTGGACAATTTTGTCTAGAAGATAAACCAGACTAAGAAAAGTTTTTTTTTTTCCATTACAAACCTGAAGTGCTTCGCCAATATTAACAACCAATCCTTGTGATACCGGTTTAACATCGATCCATTGGTTATTGTGCAGGACTTGAAGGCCACCAATTTGATCTTGAAGCAGAACAGTAAGGAAAGAAGGATCTGTATGGTTCGCAGCGCCAAGAGTTAGCTCTGGCTGTGGGCATGCTGGATAGTAATGGCATACTACTGATTTTCCTTTATTACATTCCATTTCTTTCAAGTGATCTGGTTTTAGCCCGAGCGCTTCTGATAAAATGCAGAATATAGTTTCTCCTAGCTTTGTAACGTGATTTATATACTCAACAATTACGTTCCTGGATATAGAAAAACAATTTCAGATATAATATAGCCTAACATGTCAAGAATTGTACTACATATAATTCCGTGAATAAAACACTATCCTTTCTAACAACTTGAGCTTTTTTGACGAGATGTTCACAAAATTCAATATGGTAACAGAGTAGGTAGAGGCGCTGAGTTCAAATCTCACTGGTACGTGTTGAAGATATAATTAAGTGGATTAAGGTATATCCTCTCTAACAACTTAAGTTTTTAGATACGTAATCACATAATTAACGAGAAGCCTGTCCAAGCAACTGATCTAACTACTCCATGAAAAATCAAAGGCACGAAATTCAAGAACAGAAGATCAATATAAACTTACCTGCAAACTGCTGGTAGTTCTTCTGGTTCGATATGACTTGAATGTAGCAAAGAAATGTTCAATGTATCCCTCCAGTTTGCAGATTTCGATTGATAAAGATCAAAGTTGCTCTCATATCTTACTCTTCTCGATGTGAAATCACGCGAATAGTACTCTTTCTTTACCTCAGCATCTTGTTCGTGAAATTTACGAATCCCATCAATCATTCTTTCCAATACACTTGAAGGAATCCCATGATTTATCAGTTGGAAAAATCCCCACTTTTCTGATGCTTCCCTTATTTCATCGACAACCTTGTTACGATGATCTTGAACTTCTATGCCACTGAAATCTATCACAGGACAATGCAGAGTTGGCTTACCATGAGTCAACTCTTGAACAAGTTCATCAGATGGCCTAATGAATATTCTTGGAATTTCCACAATTCCGGAATCAACTAATCCTTTAACACCAGTTTTTGTATCATCAAACGCTTTTAATTCCATCAAGCGATCATATTCCATTGTTAATTCAGCTTGAGACTGCAATTCTGGACATATGTGTTCTTAATTTCAATAAGGGAAAGATTCTTGAGCAATAAATAAGTTAGTTAAAAGTCAACTTGTGCTCATAAATAATGTGATCCAATGTGAATCAATATTCAAAAAGCATATTTAGTGAAATCCGAGCAGTGGGGTCTAAGGAGGGTAGAGTATATGCAGATCATACCTCTACCTCGTAATCATGGAGGTAAGGAGACGGTTTTTGGAGGACCCTCGGCTCAACTAATAAGGAACTGGTAACAACCACATAATAATACTCCTCCGTTCCTATTAAGTTGTCACCATTTTAGGTCCAGACTCCTTAAGAAAGTAGGTAAATTTATCATTATATCCTTATTTAGTATTATCAAATTTTCAATAAATGAAAGTAAATTAATTTGACCAACGAACATAATAAGTTACTTAACTTTTAATAGGAAGAATAATTCTTTTTATGATCTATTACGTATTCTGTCCTTCATTTTTATTTGTTCATTATTTTAAATATTTTATTTGTTCATTTTTATTTGTTCACTATTTTAAACATCGATAAGTAGAAAACGAAACAAATGAAAAATAGAAGAACTTATAGCTTGATATCGCTAGAGAAATTTTGAAGCAAAACGGAAAAAATATATAAAATATGAAAGAGCTAGAGAAAGAAAAAAAGGTGTGGAAGACTAACGGATTAAACAAAGTACAAATATGAAAGAAAGAAGAAATGTTATAATATCTGACACATTTGCCCTTAAATAAATAATAAAATTACTGAAATGCCATTGACAAGAAAAAAAAACCAATCAATTTTTAACTAAAAAAAGAGGTGGTGTTACATCACCTACTCTGTGCGAATATATTATAGCACATATATTATAGAACATAAAATGAATTTGTCATTTTTTTTAATATGCGCTAATTTATAAGATAATCTAACTTAATAAATTGATTGATATATTTTTATAAGCGTTTTAGCGTGGAAAAGTTAAACTTGACAAAATCAAACTTCATTAGTCTTCAACTATATATAATATAAAAAAACTAGAAATGGCCGACATATTTTTTATTAATATCCAAAAGGACCCACAATAATTTTATATGAAAGTTGAGCTGACTTTAACATGTTTATTTGACCGATCAATAAATAATTGTTATGATAAATCTCTAGAACGAGCTTGTCTGCTGACCACTATCGTCCAATTATTTTGGAAGTCATATCATTTTTTTCATTGAACTAGCTAGACGCTATCGATTCGTAATTGAGATGGAATATGATCCATCGATTGAGAAAAAGGCTATTGATGATACAAAGGCCGGTGTTAAAGGACTAGTTGATTCAGGAATAGTCGAGATTCCAAGAATTTTCATTAGGCCATCTCATGAACTTGCTGAGGAGTTGAATATGTGCAGGTCAACTCTACAGGTTCCAGTGGTGGATCTAAGTGGCATAGAAGTTGAAGATCGACGTAAGAAGATTGTCGATGAAATAAGGGATGCATCTGAGAAATGGGGATTTTTTCAACTGATAAATCATGGGATTCCTTCAAGTGTTTTGGAAGGAATGATTGATGGAACTCGTAAATTTCATGAACAAGATGTCGAAGTGAAGAAAGAGTACTATTCGTCTGATCCAAGACGAGGAGTTAGATTTGAGAGTAATCTTCAACTGTTGACAACAAAAGGTAGAAATGCAACCTGGAAGGATACATTGTATATCTCTAAGTCAGTTTCTGAACCTGAAGAAATACCAGAAGTTTGCAGGTAATTATGTATGTTTTACGCGCACAGGGTGTTGAAGTTTTTTGCATTAAATCTTGATATGTTTGATCTTTTCGTAATGTCCAGGAAAATATTGGTTGAGTACAAAAATCATGTTATAATACTAGGGGACATTCTTCTTGGCTTACTATCAGAAGCTCTTGGGCTAAAACCTGACCACTTGAAAGCCGCGGATTGTAACAAAGGACTAATGTTGGCATGTCATTACTACCCGGCATGTCCACAGCCAGAGCTGACTCTTGGTACCGGTAAGCATACAGATCCTGTTTTCCTTACCGTTCTGCTTCAAGATCAGAGCGGTGGGCTCCAAGTCATGCGTGATAACCAATGGGCTGATGTTGAACCGATTGAACATGGTTTGGTTATTAATATTGGTGACCTTCTTCAGGTTTGGCAAACAAAACACAACTTTTTGTTCTCATTTCCTAACAAATTGTTACTCATCTCAATCTGATTTTATAACAGATCGTATCAAATGACAAGTTTGTTAGTGCAATTCATAGAGTTGTAGCAAATAAGGTAGGACCAAGGATTTCAGCGGCAAGCTTCTTCACTGGAAGTTCTACACCTCCGAAGATATATGGTCCAATCAAAGAGCTCATATCTGAAGAAAACCCCGCACTATATAAAGACTTTCTAGCAGCTGATTATACTGCTAAGTATTTCTCCCAGCCTGTTAATACTCTTGATCTTTTCAGACTGTGAAGAGAGACCGAGCACCACAATGTCAGAGTTTGTGATTCGCTGTACAATAAATGTCGTCTTTCGTATTCTGCTCTTTATTTTCAAATAAAAAGGGATCTGTTCCATAATATTTCAAGTGATCGCTATTCATTGCTGTCTTAATTAGCCAAACAATCTGTTTTGAGGATACGATTATAAGTGATTTTATAGGGGATATAGTGATATAGTTGAGTGATCTTGTAGGTGAAATGACAATTGTTGAGTGAGTTTTATATTACAGGACAATATTGAGTGACTTTCTGAGCTACAAACTATTAGTTGAAACACGGTCTGAGAAGTTAACTCAAAAAAAAAATGGACCTTCGAAACTTACTCATGAGGTGATGATTGAGTAGGACCTTGTAAGGATATAAAAACCTGATCGATCATCCCTCAACGGCTCAACCAACACGAGACACTTGACAATAAGGTAAAGCGTAATGAAGAATTCCGAAAGAAATGGTAAAGTCCTGAGAAGATGTTGAAACATATCTGTAAATCCTTTCGACTATTTCTGCAATTTGAAAGGTGACAATAACGAAGTTCCATCAAGCCCTTTGTTGTATAGACGCATCACATACTCTTTTCTGCTTGTTTCCCGGTAGATTGGAGGGTTTTCTTCGGATAACAACTCCTTGATCGGACCATATAATCTCGATTCACTTCCTTCTTGAAAATGCATTCTGAAAAAACTTGCCACTGAAATTCTTGGTCCTACATTTTTCGCCAAAACTCTGTGAAGAACACTTTTGAACTTGTCATTTGTGATGAGCTGCAAAACCAAAAAAAATGGAAACTAGTGAATTCATTAATCAAGTTCTTGACGTTTACATAAAGAGTTCAAGTTATGTGCACAGACAACATATACATTTCTTACACCTAGAATAATAGGTAACATTTTATAACAAGACTGATAAGGTTATAATAGCCTGAAAATCAGTGTAACAACCAGCTATAACCGTGAACTGCTAGTATCAAAATTTGTTTTCGATGCCAATATATATAACTTTAAGTCCGTGTATTTATACATCAAGCTCAATTTACAAATGTTTACTTGCCTGCATAAGATCTCCAATGTTCACTATTAGAGCTCCAGGTAAGAAAGGAACGTCAACCCATTGATCTTTATGAAAGACTTGGAGGCCACCAATTTGATCCTGTAATACAATAGTTAAGAAGCCACTATCCGTGTGACCGCTAAGGCCTAAAGTCAGTTCTGGTTCAGGGCATGCTGGATAATAATGACCGGTGATGAACAGCCCCTCGGCACATTCCATGTCTTTCAAGTGATCTGATTTGAGTTGTAGAGCCTCAGAGAGTAGCTCAAAGAGAGTAAGTCCCAGTTTCATGATATACTTCGTGTATTCGATCAAAACTTCTCTGTAATGTCAAAAAATGCATCCAATAAAGCAGAGATTATATTGGAAAAATCCAAGCATATTTGAACATTACCATGATGATAAGGAAACATATAACTAGTTCATAATTTGTTCCGAGTCAAATTTTTAAGACTTTTGCACACCCCTTAAGAAATATATTTCATAGGTTTAACCATACGGATTTTGTCTAAACGACTCTTTGTCTCTCTCATAACATTTTGTACCTGCAAACATTGGGAATTTCTTCAGGATCAGGAGGATTAGGATCCATGACACAGTAAAGGGTGTCCCTCCAATTAGCTGTTGGCGATTTGAGTAGATCAAAATTGCTATTGTAAGTGACCTTCCTTGTAACATCACGTGAGTAGAACTCTTTCTTCACCTCAGAATCCTGCTCATGAAAATGACGAACGCCTTCTAGTACTTTCTCCTTAATACTTGATGGGATTTCATGATGTACAATCTGGAAAAATCCCCAGTTTTCACAAGCATTCTTTATTTCTCGAACAATATCAGCTCGTTCAGCTGCACTATTTTCCAAGCCTTGAAAATCTACTACAGGAATGCTAAACTTACTAGTAACATCAGGGTCCGATTTCTTTTCACTCACATACTCGTTGTGTAAGAATATACGTGGTAACTTTGTGACACCGGCATCTAGTAGTCCTTTTACCCCCATCTTTGAATCATCAAATAAATGCACTTCACTTTTTCTATCATATTCTGAACTGTCATCGTGCTCGATACTTTCATTTCTTGAGACAACCATTTTTCTCCTTGTAGAGGAAAACTCTTGTTGAGTATGAAATCAAGATTCATTACAGACATAATAATAAAATGGGAATATAATAGGGGTACTCACAAAATTGATATTATAATATAGTTTTTATGGAATCAGATTCCATCACAATGCAAAGCCAAGAAGCTCCAGGACAAAGGCAGACATACTGTATTACAGACAACTTTGGAACTATTAAGATTATAATAAGTTTTGTCTTGTTCAAATAACAACAGAATTTTGAAATATTTTGTTACATTACTTTCTCTTTTAAAAAGACCGAAAACATGAAGAGCACATGTTCAGTTGGTCAAAATTCTTCGGAAAATATTTTCTCTAGGTCAAAAGTTCTTCGGAAAATGATTTCCCTAGTAAGTAGGAAAAACAAGTCTCAGAAGTGGCATTTCACATCTGGAATATAATTGGACATCATTGAAGCCAGAGACAACTCAGAAAGCTAAAAATATTGACAATGTATAACTCAAACATAAATTTCGACATTTATTTCGTGTTATAGATGTTAGGATCGAAAATAAGTAGGTGTATATATAACAAGGGTGCTTATATATTATAAGAGAAGTTAATATATTCCTATTAACTTTTCTGCAACCAGATTCGATCGCAATGCAAAGCCAAGAAATTACAGGACAAAGGGAGATATACAAATTATGATTCAAGACTATTTCTCTTTTGACTTAGTTCACATAATCTTTTGGCACTAATTGGATTTTGTTATATTCTGTTCAATTTGTAGCAGAGAAACTAATAGCTACTATTCAATTGCAGAGGACAAGGACGAAATGTAAAAAAAAAGGCGATTAACAAGAAACAGAATCATTCTTCAAATAAAACTAAAGATAAGTAGCTCAAGGAAACGGAGTTTATTCTCTTGAAAAACTTAAGCAAGTAGCTTATGATATATATTACTATAGAACATCACAATATAGATTCTCTCATCCTACTTTCCAATGTGTTATTACGTAGCTACGGCTGGATCTTGTAATGCAATAATGCAGAAGTTCCATCTAGACCTTTCTCACGGAAGTAATCAGCATAGTCTTTCACTGTGGTTGCGCGATATTTTGGAGGACTATCGTCTGACAACAACTCCTTAATTGGTCCATAAAGCTTGGTAGTAGGCAATGAACCAGTGTAGAAGAAGCAAGCTACTGATATTCTTGGTCCAACTTTATTTGACAATACTCTATGCTCAACACTTAGGTACTTGTCATTTGATATGAGCTGAAAAAACAAAAACCAGAATAAGAACAATTGGTTTTACTAGCAAACAAAGTTTCATATTCATTTTTTCGGAAAAAGTTCCAATTGTTTTCAGAATGTGTAAGAATAACCTGCAGAAGATCTCCAATGTTCACGACAAGAGCACCAGGTGTAGGAGGAACATCAATCCACTGAGTCTCGTGAAGTACTTGTAGTCCTCCTATTTGATCTTGTAGAAGCACGGTGATAAAATCATTGTCAGAATGTTTGTTGGTTCCTATAGTGAGTTCTGGCTGAGGGCATGCTGGATAATAATGTCCCAAAACGCGGAGCCCCTCAGCGCAATCAATATCATTCAGATGAGATGGATTAAGACCTAAACCCTCCGACAATAATTCAAACAAGGATTTTCCCAATGTCATGACATGATTAGAGAACTCCATTAGTATTTCCCTGCAGCAATTACTATAAAATCGATGAAACGTGAAATATCAAGAACTGAAAATAAAAACCATAACATAACATACCTGCATGCTGTTGGCAATTCCTCTGGACTAGGATGATTCGGAGCCATTAAACAGAAAATTGAGTCTCTCCAATTCGTAGCCGGAACAGAAGGGCTATACAAATCAAAATTACTAACATGAACTATTTTTTTGGTATTATCTCGAGTGTAATATTGTTTCTTGATATCAACATGTTGCTCAAAGAATCGTCGTGTTCCTTGCAACATTTCTTCCATGACAGATAATGGAATTCCATGATTAACCACTTGGAAGAAACCCCACGTCTCCGATGCATCTCGAACTCTGTCTACAATCTCTTTATGCTTTATTGGATCTTTATCGATGCCTTCAAGATCTATCACTGGAAAAATGAACTTTGTTTCACAATTTCTTACACATTCCTCTATTTTAGTTGGCTGAACGAATATCCGAGGCACTTCAGTTATTCCAGCATCAACGATTCCTTTGACACCAGCTTTAGTATCATCAAAGGCTTTTAATTCACTCATTCTGTCATAACTTCCCGGAACTCTTGCCTCAAAATCATCAGTGCTAGAGACTTTCATCATTTTTTCTCAAAATCCTCGGGCTCGTAACTCTAGAGTTGAGAGGATACTTCAAATCTTACCTCAAAATTGTTAGATTTGTTTAAAGAGCCATATGAACAGTCAAGCATAGTTTATTGAAATATAAAAACTAATCTATAGTTTTATAAAAACAAGGAGTCCTCATTTTTATAGTTTATGATTAACATTGTACAATCACATGACAGTCTTTTTTTTAATAAAAACTTGTTGTCCCAAATATCATAGTTTAAGACTTAGTCTGCACAATCACATGTACAGTTGAGTATTTTCTTTTTTTTTTGTGTGTGTAATCTCAAAATTGTAAAGAGTTGAGCATGTGCAACCTCGACAGAGGCGAAGCTAGCATTTTAACTTTATGAGCTCTGAATTTTGCAATAACAACTTTTTAAAGTGACAATAACTAGGTTGTAAATTATATATGTATATATTTAATGAATTTATTGATACAAATACGTCTGAGCAAAATTGATATGCTAATCAATAAGATTAATGAAATAGCAATCAATTGGAAAGTTTGAAGTACATTATGTTCTCATTTCAAATGATCTAATGTAAGTTTCTCTTTTTTTTTAATTTCTATTTTACATTTAAACAAAAAAGTGATAAAATATAGCTATTTGGTAATAATTGTCATAAGATATACGTGCAACACATATGTTCAGAGTCTAGTTAAATAAGTAGCAAAGAAAAACTGAGAAGAAAAAAAGGTAACGGATAATTGACATGAACACACCAAATTGTTTGTTATATTACATAAAATGGGATCTTAGGTCATCATATAACGATGGATTACACAATACGATACAACAAAACTTAAGTAACAATACAAATAAACATTGTATTTCAAGTAACAATACGATACAATACAATAGATAATAACCATCCCGACAAGCATCCAAAGTAAAAGTCTCAGTTCGTATCATAAATTGAATTGTTACATTAGGATTAGATCCTGTAATGCGACAATGTAGAAGTTCCATCTAGACCTTTTTTGCGGAAGTAGTCACGGTAGTCTTTCACTGTGGTTGCGCGATATTTTGGAGGATTATCTTCCGATAACAATTCAGTAATCGGTCCATAAAGCTTGGAAGATGGCATTGAACCTGTGTAGAAGAAGCATGCCACTGATATTCTTGGTCCAACTTAATTTGCCAATACTCTGTGCTCAACACTTATGTACTTGTCATTTGATATAAGCTGAAAAATAGCAACAAAAAAAATTAAACAAATGATATCAGTGCCTCTTATTGATTGTAGTCGTATATGGTTTAGAAAAACAAAGTATACTAGCCTGCAGAAGATCTCCGATGTTCACGACAAGAGCACCAGGTGTAGGAGGAACATTAACCCATTGATTCTGGTGAAGCACTTGAAGTCCTCCGATATGATCCTGTAGAAGTACGGTGATAAAATCATTGTCAGAGTGTTTGTTGGTCCCTATCGCGAGTTCTGGCTGAGGGCATGCTGGATAGTAATGTCCCAAAATACCTAGCCCCTCCGCGCAATCCATATCTTTGAGATGGCAACGATCGAGACCAAGACCTTCTGATAATAATTCAAGTAAGGAGAAGCCTAATTTCATCACATCCTTAGAGTATTGCATTAGTATTTCTCTGCAGTAATTTCAAGTAAAATTGATGAAATGTCACATATCGATATTTTGAAAAAAATAAAGTAACTCAACTGGCTCAAAGGGACCAGACATCTAGTTGAATTAATCCACCAGAGCACACATTAATCATAACCAGTTGCAAGATATAGCGTGTAACCATAGCAACACAAGTCATGTTTATTGTTGATTTTTGTTACAAATGAAGCTGGTTGGTTTTCTAATTCATGTTCCCGAAACATCTCGGTGCCAATCTTCAGACAAGTGAGGCTTTCTCAAGTAGTTGAGCACTCGAGTCACACTAGAAGGTAAGTGGAAGCACCATTGATCCTCCAGTGGGGTGTGAAGGGGAAAATAGAAAAAAGGTTCATTTCCAGAACATTTATTTACCCGCATGCTGTTGGAAGTTCTTCTGGACTTGGAGGATCAGGAGCCATTAAACAGAAAAGTGTGTCTCTCCAATTTGCAGCTGGAACAGAAGAGCTATACAAATCAAAATTACTAGTGTGAATCACTCTTTTCGTAGTATCTCTACTGTAATACTGTTTCTTAACCTCGACATCTTGCTCAAAAAACTGCCGTGTTCCTTGCATCATTTCTTCCAAGACGGATGTTGGAATCCCATGATTAACCACTTGGAAGAAACCCCATGTCTCTGATGCATCTCGAACATTGTCCACAATCTCCTTATGCTTGATTGGGTCCTCATCGATGCCTTCAATGTCTATCACAGGGAAAATGAACTGTGTTTCATTTGTATCCGATAACTCCGGCCTTTTTTTTGGTGGTAGAATGAATATTTGAGGTACTTTAGTGATTCCAGAATCAACAATTCCTTTGACACCAGCCTTAGTATCATCAAACGCTTTTAATTCACTCATTTTGTCATAATTTTTCTCAACTGTGACCTGAAAATCATTAGTGCTGGAGAGTACCATCTTCTTTGCTAGGATGTTAAGAACCAAGAGTTTCTGAGATCAGTTAGTACCTAATGGCCATCATATCATCATATATTTTTACATCAAAAGTCGGAAGGTCCAAAGTAAAAAAGTTGAAAGACGAAAATGCCCATATAATGACCTTTTTATCGTGCATAGCGGGATCTTAGTGCACCGAGGCTGTCCTTTTTTACTCAGGTTTCCAATTTAGTGCTCAATGAGCCATTAATTTAGACTTTTGGACAATGGTTAGAGTTATTGTCAATGATCTATTATTAAATTCATATACTTGGGATGAATCTAGTTTGCTTTATGAACAAGGGCCACTAATTTAGACTTTTGGACCACAATTGTCACCATCTAACAGTTCATACCAACAAACTTGATATTTGAAGCAGAAGAAAACAAAAGAAAATGGGTTAATTATTTTTAGTCCCTTTCTTTTGGTCACTGTCTGAATCCACTGCCCCCACCACCACCACCACTGAAAAAAAATATACGGATATCAGATGAGTCTGCTCGTTGTGTTTGAACTCACTGTGTCTGTGTCTGTCTGCTCTTTGTGTCTCAACATGTTCCAGGCACTGTTAACTTTTGAATTTCCATGTGCGTGTAGTCGTCCTTACATGGTCTATCCAATGGATATACTATATGATGTAATGCTCCCCGCCTTGTCGAATTTTCATACCATACATTTGAAGTAAAAATAACGGTATCATCAGCATATGTCAAATGGTACAGTGGTTACAAGGGTCAGCTAGAACATTTATCCACAATTTAGACGAGATGATTACAAACAGTTCAACAGAGATGACTAGGACTGAGATGCAGACCCTTTGACATGAGTCTGAATTCATAAGAAGGGTAATTTTTAGACAAGAGGAAGGGAGAAAACAACATTTTGTAAGTATGAAATACATCTATCCGTCATAAACCTTCTGCACCACACTATATTATGAGTCTTATCAGTCACGAGTACGATCTTGCAAAGATCATAATAGTTCATGTTTCAACATCTATGAAACTTCAGCTTAAGATATAATAAAAAGTTAAATTCTCGGTAATATTCATCATACATTTAATTGTTTCATTACTAGGATTAGATCTTGAAGTGCAACAGTGCAGAAGTTCCATCTAAACCCTTCTTACGGAAGTAATCACTATAGTCCGTCACTGTGGTTGCACGATATTTCGGAGGATTATCTTCTGATAACAATTCAGCAATTGGTCCATAGAGCTTCGGAGATGGAAATGGACCAGTAGTGAAGAAGCTTGCAACTGATATTCTTGGTCCAACTTTATTTGACAATACTCTGTGTTCAACACTTGTGTACTTGTCATTTGAAATGAGCTGTGGAAAAAAATATAAGCACAACTAGTATCAGTACCAAATAAGGAGTTACTTTCATTCTTATTGAGTCGATACAAGACTCGAAAAGAAAAAGAATACTAGCCTGCAAAAGATCTCCAATATTCACCACAAGAGCAGCAGATGTAGGAGGAATATCAACCCACTGATTCTGGTGAAGGACTTGGAGTCCTCCGATATGATCTTGTAGAAGCACTGTGATAAAATCATTATCAGAATGTGTATTGGTGCCTATGGTGAGTTCTGGTTGAGGGCATGGTGGATAGTAATGGCCCACAACACCGAGCCCCTTCACGCAATCCATATCTTCGAGATGACAAGGATCAAGACCGAGACCTTCTGACAATAATCCAAGCAAGGAACAGCCCAATTCCATCACATTCTTGGAGTAATCCATTAGTATTTCCCTGCAGCAATTTTATAAAATTAATGAAATAGCACATCTCGATACTTAAAAAGAGAAATGCTATGCTTGATTGGCTCTTAAGTACCGAACTTCTAGTTAAAACTACATATTCAATTACTAGGTAAACATACCTGCATGGTCTTGGAAATTCTTCTGGACTGGGAGGATTAGGAGCCATTGAAAAGCAAAAGGAGTCTCTCCAATTTGCAGCTGGAACCGAAGGGCTATACAAATCAAAATTGCTATTATGAACCACCTTCTTCATGATATCTCGAGTGTAATATTGTTTCTTAACCTCTATATCTTGCTCAAAAAACTCACGTGTTCCTTGCAGCATTCCTTCCAGAACAGATGTTGGAATGCCATGATTTACCACTTGGAAGAAACCCCATGTCTCCGATGCATCTCGAACTTTTCCCACAATCTCTTTACGCTTTATTGGGTCCTCGTCAATACCTTCAAAGTCTATGACTGGGAAAATGAACTGTTTTTCACTTGTATCCAAGGACTCCGTCCTGTTATTTGGTGGTAGAATGAATATTTGAGGTACTTTAGTGATTCCAGCATCAACGAGTCCTTTGACACCAGCCTTTGTATCATCAAAGGCTTTTAACTCACTCATTTTGTCATAACTTTTCTGAACTGTGGCCTGAAATTCATCGGTGCTAGAGACTACCATCTTCTTTGTTACGATGTTATAAACAATAGAGTTCCTAAGGCTCTTAGAACCTAATAGGCCACGCACGATACTATAAATACTACTCTCTATGCAAAGCACTATCTTCCTATCCACAAAAAAGAAGAGGCCGTAAACAAGTAGATCTTCGTGATAAGCTTTAAATTGTTTAAGTCCCTTTCACCGGTCACTGTCTGAACCCACTGTCACTCTTCACCACACACATGTCCCAAAAATAGAAGGTAGACAAGCAGAAAAAAACAAAACATTCATAATTCTCATATAATTGTGTTTAAAACAAAAATTACTCGTAGGAATAATATCCACGACAAATAACAAGAACAAGAGAGTAATAAGGCACCAAGTCCTTTAAACACGGAAAACATAATAGCTGAGTCGAGCAACATAATACCACTACAGTGAGAAATTTAGTATTTTGTAATCTTAAAAGACTACTACGAATTTAAAAGAATTAACCTTCTTTTATTTCACACGCCTTTCTATAATAGTACTCTCCCATTCTGTTTCCTCACACTGTTATGTGTGAATTACTCCCTCTGTTTGATATTGCTTTTCACTATCTTATCGGTATGTTCTAAAGTGAAAGAACTCCTCGGAGAAAAAATTAAAGCCAGTACATAAAAGAGAAGGACTACATAAATTTTCTATCATATATTGATACAGGTCATGTTTCACTATCTATGAAGCTTCAGCATAAGATACATCAAAAGTTAAAACTCTCAGTTTTCATCGTATATTCAATCGTTACACTACTATGATTAGATCTTGTAATGCAACTGTTGAATGCCTTGATCCGGGGGCGGAGACGCCCTCGGCCCGACAGTATACAATGTTGTTGTATTGGGCCCTTAATTTTCTGTTGATTCTGTATGTTGGGCCCAAGCCTGTTAGGGCGTAGCTCAGCACTATATATAGACGCTATGGGAAACCCTATTCTGTAATTCTGTTTTTGCCTCTCCATAATAAAACTGCTCCCTCTCTTCCCGTGGACGTAGCCAATTTATTGGTGAACCACGTAAATCTGTTGTCTTGTTTTTCGCGTTTATATTTTCTCATATTATCTCAAATTCCGCACAACAGCAACAATGCAGAAGTTCCATCTAGACCTTTTTTACGGTAGTAAGCAGAGTAGTCATTCACTGTGGTTGCACGATATTTTGGAGGATTATCTTTGGACAACAACTCAGTAATCGGTCCATAAAGATTGGAAGATGGCACTGGACCTGTACCAAAGAAGCATGCAACTGATATTCTTGAACTTAGTTTATTTGTCAATACTCTGTGTTCAACACTTATGTACTTGTGATTTGATATGAGCTGAAACAAAAGCAGCAACAATTAGCACAACGTAACTAGTAATCTTTACCAAATAATAATTATACTCATACATATCGAGTAGGTATAATATTCAAAAAGGCAAACAATACTAGCCTGTAGAAGATCTCCAATGTTCACGACAATAGTACCAGGCGTAGGGGGAACATCAACCCAATGATTCTGGTGAAGCACTTGAAGCCCTCCGATATGATCTTGTAGAAGCACGGTGATAAAACTATTGTCAGAATGCTTACTGGTGCCCATGGTGAGTTCTGGCTGAGGACATTCTGGATAGTAATGGCCCAAAACAACGAGCCCCTCAGCACAACCGATATCATTGAGATGAGATGTATTGAGACCTAGACCCTCAGACAATAATTCAAACATGGATTTCCCCAATTTCATGATATGATCAGAGAACTCCATTAGTGTTTCGCTGCAGAAATTTCAGTAAACTCGTGAAACAGTGGTTATCATTAACTAACCGAAAATCCAGTTTTCTTATTTTTCCTAACAATATCCATCACAATTTGTAAAGATATGACATCTGGATATAACTACCGATATTAGCATAGTTTATTCTTGATTTTTGTCACAACATAATACATATTTAGTTATTAGGTAACGAAATGAAGTTGGTTATTTTTCTAATTAATGTTTAGAACATACCTGCATGCTGTTGGAACTTCTTCTGGACTAGGAGGATTAGGAGCCATTAAACAGAAAAGTGTGTCTCTCCAATTTGCAGCTGGAACAGAAGGGCTATACAAATCAAAATTGCAAGAATAAACCACTTTTTTCGTAATATCTCGAGTGTAATACTGATTCTTAACCTCAATATCTTGCTCAAAAAACTTTCGTGTTCCTTGCAACATTTCTTCCAGGACAGATACTGGAATGTCATGATTAACCACTTGGAAGAAACCCCATGTCTCTGACGCATATCGAACTTTGTCCACAATCTCTTTATGCTTGGATCCTTAGCAATGCCTTCAAGGTCTATCACTGGAAAAATGAACTGTGTTTCACATGTATCCGAGGACTCCGGTCTGTGTTTTGGTGGTAGCATGAATATTCGAGGCACCTTAGTGATTCCAGCATCAACAAGCCCTTTGATACCTGCCTTTGTACCATCAAAGGCTTTTAACTCACTCATTTTGTCATAACTTCTCTGAATTATGGTCTGAAAATCATCGGTGCTAGAGATTTCCATCTTCTTTGTTAGAGTATTATAAACAAGTAGAATACCTGAGGTTCTTAGAATCACATAGGCTGCACGGGATACTAAAAGTACTACTCACTATGAAAAACATATATAATCTTCACCATCCGGCATAAATAGAGGCGTAGACTAGGAAATAGTCATGATAAACTTTAAAGGGCTATTAATTTTTACAGCAAAAAGATTAGAGTTTATCTATCAAAGAGCTACTAACTTAGACTCCCGGATACTTGTAATTTTGACCACAAAACAGACAAGCAAAATTACTTTTTAGTCCCTTATGAGGATATTAGAAGATATAGTGGTAGCTTATGTAAGGTAGAGAAGCCAAAGAAAACAAGTTGTGGTCATGGCACTAGTTACTACTACATTAACTGTCCCGATGTCTGCTCATTTCTTCTCAAAACAATCACTAAACTCTTTAGGGACTCACTGTCAACAGAAGTAAAAATAAAGGTATCATCAACATGTGCCAAATTAAATGGTTAATCCGTGTTACAAACAGTTCAACAGAAATAACTAGGATTGAGATGCAGACTCTTTGACACGAGTCTGGATTCATTGTATTAGAATGGTAATTTTTAGACAAAAGGAAAGAAGGACATAGCATTTTGTAAGTATGAAATACATCGATCAGTCCTAAACTCCGGAATTTCAAACTAGTTTTTGCTACTCTTTACAAGTACTCCCGCCACACTATATTAAGAGGAAAGAAAAACTAGACAGTTGAGAAAAGAAATGAATTATGACCGATGCTGCAAGTGGTAATTGACAATCATTTATTTGCTGGTAAGAATAGAAACTATAACAAAGATCACGAGGACAATCTTGCAAAGATCATAACAGTTCATGTTTCAACACCTTAATTCTGTTTAAGTTCTCCCTGTGAACACCCCAATGCTGAGAAATGCACCTCCTTAAAGGTGTCTAAATGTGCATTTTCAAAGTTAAGGTTTTTGATCGCAAGTGCAAGTTGTACTGTCTAGATAATCACAATGATAGTTGAAGTGTTCATCTGCTAGTGGAGGTCAAGTTAAACTGTATATGTATTATTACTTTCAACATCTATGAAGCTTCAGCGACATACACACCAAAAGTTATTTTGGGTTACAGAATCACTACATATATGTATATGATTGTATATACGATAGAATAGCTGGTTCATAGAGATTGCATAGTCTCCTTATGAATTTATATTATTGTTTTCTTTTATTCTTCATGCCTTATAAGTTACGGTTACTATGTTAGAACTTGAAATGCAACAGTACAGAAGTTCCATCTAAACCCTTTTGACGGAAGTAATCACTAAAGTCTTTCACTGTGGTGGCATGATATTTTGGAGGATTATCTTCTGACAACAAATCAGAAATTGGCCCATACAGCTTGGAAGATGGTAATGGACCTGTACTGAAGAAGCATGCAACTGATATTCTTGGTCCAACTTTATTTGACAATACTCTGTGCTCAACACTTACGTAATTGTCATTTGAAATGAGCTGGAAAAGAGAAGGCAACAATAATAAGCACAACTAGCTTTGGTACCAAATAAGGTGTTATGTTCATTCTTATCAAGGTGATGTAAGATTTGAAAAGAAAAGGAATACTAGCCTGCAGAAGATCTCCAATGTTCACGACAAGAGCACCAGGTGTAGGAGGAACATCAACCCACTGATTCTGGTGAAGCACTTGGAGTCCTCCTATATGATCTTGTAGAAGCACGGTGATAAAATCATTGTCAGAGTGTTGACTGGTGCCCATGGTGAGTTCTGGCTGAGGTCATGCTGGATAATAATGGCCCAAAAGGCGGAGCCCCTCAGCGCAATCAATATCATTCAGATGAGATGGATTAAGACCTAGACCCTCCGACAATAATTCAAACAAGGATTTTCCCAACTTCATGACATGATTCGAGTAGTCCATTAGTATTTCCCTGCAGCAATTTCACAGTTAAATTTTCTAATTTTCCCGAACACAATCCTTTAAAACTTACATCAAGCATAAATTGATTATAAGTAAAGAAATAACGATGCCAACATTTCCTTGGTTAATTCTTGATTTTTATCACAACATAATACATATTAAATTACCTGCATGGTTTTGGAAGTTCTTGTGGACTGGGAGGATTAGGAGCCATTGAAAATAAAACGGAGTCTCTCCAATTTGCAGCTGTGACAGAAGGGCTATACAAATCAAAATTGCTACTATGAACCACCTTCCTCGTCATATCTCGAGTGTAATACTGCTTCTTAACCTCGATATCTTGCTCAAAAAACTCACGTGTTCCTTGCAGCATTCCTTCCAGGACAGATTTTGGAATGCCATGATTTACCACTTGGAAGAAACCCCATGTCTCCGATGCATTTCTAACTTTTTCCACAATCTCTTTATGCTTGATTGGGTCCTCGTTCATTCCTTCAAGATCTATCACTGGAAAACTGAACTGAGTTTCACATGTATTTGAGGATTCCGGTCTGTTTTTTGGTGGTAGAATGAATATTTGAGCCTTAGAGATTCCAGCATCAACAAGCCCTTTAACACCTGCCTTAGTATCATCAAAGGCTTTTAACTCACTCATTTTGTCATAACTTTTCTGAATTGTGGCCTGATAATCATTGGTTCTAGAGATTGCCATCTTCTTTGCTAGAGTGTTAAACAAGTAGGATTCCCGAGGTTCATTAGAATCTTATAGGAAGCATGGACTAGAGTTTAATTAATTTTTACTGCAAAAATATCTAAAAGGTGAAGGATTTCTCAACCTTCGGACCACAAGTCTCTTCGTAGCACATAGTAGTTAGAGTTGATTTGTCAAAGAGCTATTAACATAGACTATTGGATACTTGCAATTCAGACCACAATAGAGAAGTTCCGTCATTTTTAGTCCCTTATGTAGGGATGGCAATGGGGCGGGAGTTGAGTTTAACCCGCCCCACCCCACCCTGCATAAGGGACTAAAAATGACGGAACTCGCTATATATGAGTCACTTTTATAACGAGGGGTATATTCCCTAAATTAAATAGTAAGCTTCTCATTTCTGGGACTCAAGAGAGATAGAAATGAGAAGTCAAAAAGATAAATGGACAGGGTTCTTTCAACCCACCCCCACCCTGCACCTCTTTGGGCTTAGAAAAATTAGTTTTAACCCCCCCCCCCCCCACACACACACACACATATCGAAACCCTCCCTGCCCCGCCTATGTTTAAGCCTGCCCTATTTGCTCCCGCCCTTCCCCTTGCCATCCCTACCCTTATGGGGATATTAGAAGATATAGCGATAGCTTATGTAAGGTAGATAAGCCAAAGAAAAAAAGTCATCACTCTAAGCTAATTGTGGTCATGGAACTAGTTCCCATTGATAGTATGCACAACACGTTAACGACTACGAATAACCAAAATATTTAAGAAGATAGGCTGTAGCACATATGATTAAATGAGTTTGTTTTCTCAATACATTGACTATGAAATTAAAGTCATCCTTTGCACTTTTAAAGGTTATCGACATGCCTAACACTGAATTCAATCTCGAAAGAAATAGATGGAATCCAATATCAGGTGATCATCAAAGCCTGATGTGATTCCACTTGCTACAGAATATCTTATTAGCTAATTGTACATCACATGTTCAGTTTACAGCTTTGATATGACTTACACGAAATAACTTAAATTTTAGGACGGGATCTTGTAATCCAGCAGTGTAGAAGTTCCATCGAAGCCTTTCTTGCGGAAATAGTCTGTATATTCCTTCACTGTGGTTGCACGATACTTTGGAGGATTACATTCTGATAACAATTCCTTAATTGGTCCATAAATCCTTGGAGAGGGAAATGCACCAGTGCTGAAGAAACACGGCACTGATATTCTTGGACCTACTTTGTTCGACAATACTCTATGCTCAACACTTATATACTTGTCATTCGATATGAGCTGAAATCAGAAAAAGTTAAAGCAAAATTTTATATCAGTACCAAAACACACTATACGAATCAGTCTAATTAAGAATGTGAGTTCAATTGTGTGACCGTTGAGCTTTCACATGATATGATCACACAGTTCAACATCTCGCCACCACCAATTACAAAACAAAAAGAACTTTCACGTGATTGGACTAATCGGGATTGCACATGAAAGGATATGTTGAAGACATAGTTAAGTAAGTAAAAGTACAACTCTTTTTCACAGCTTAAGTTTTTAGGAAACGAACGCTAACCTGTAACAGATCTCCAATATTCACGACTAGAGCACCACGTGTAGGAGGAACATCAATCCACTGATTTTGGTGACGGACTTGGAGACCTCCTATATCATCTTGAAGAAGCACGGTAATGAAAACACAGTCCGAATGCTGTCTGGTGCCTATGGTGAGTTCCGGCTGAGGACATGCTGGATAGTAATGTTGGGCAATAGATAGCCCTTCAGCACAGTTCATATCTTTAAGATGACAAGGATTGAGACCGAGACCCTCGGACAATAACTCAAATAATGAGCAGCCTAATTTCATCATCTTCTTAGAGAATTCAATCAAAATCTCCCTGCAGAATGCAAATTAGTCTGCTCAATTGGCTAGACGAGTTGAGGTGTCTAGACGTGCATATTCAAAGTTGAAGTGCTTACTTATTGGCCAAATTTGAGTGTTTTTGTGAAAATAATGTGTTCTTTCAAGTGTGAGTAAGAACATACCTACATACTGTGGGAAATTCCTCTGGACTAGGAGGATTAGGACACATAAAACAGTAAAGTGAGTCTCTCCAGCTAGCTGCTGGAACAGAGGGGCTAAACAAATCAAAGTTGCTAACATGTGCTACTTTCTTCGTAGTATCTCGAGTGTAATATCGTTTCTTTATCTCCACATCTTGCTCGAAAAATCTTCGTGCTCCTTGCAACATTTCTTCAAGGACAGGTAATGGAATGTCATGATTGACTACTTGAAAAAATCCCCATGTCTCTGATGCATCTCGAACTTTGTCAACTATATCTTTATGCCTTATTGGATGATCAATGCCTTCAAGATCTATTACAGGAAAAACAAACTCCTCCTCAGTATAGCCTGGGGAGTTTTGTATGCTTTCTCGTGGATGAACGAATATTCGAGGCACTTCAGTACTATTGCAAGCATCAACAAGTCCTTTGACACCAGCTTTTGTGTCATCAAAGGCTTTTAATTCACTATGTTTATCATAATTTGGCTGTAATGTAGCCTGAAATTCTTCATTCATGGAGAAAACCATCTTTTCTTCTACTTTTTCATTACTATTGTAAATACAAAGTTACTTCACTTGTGAGATTATAAGATGGACAAATCTGAACGGCAAATGGCAAAGTCAAGATTTTCACTAAAATAACGAGATTCGAATATGAAAAAATAAATATAAAAAAAATTCAACTAATATTGTATATACATTACTCTTCGAGCCCATCTAGCTCCGCCCCTATCTTGAGAGAATTATGTCCACTCTTTTGGAAAGATAAAGGACGCATCATATAGCTGGAAAACACCTAAATAAAGCTAAGATAAGTTTTTATTTAAAAAAAGGGATAATGCCAAGTACTCCTCAACCTATGCCGGAAATCTCAGAGACACACTTATACTATACTACGGTCCTATTACCCCTGAACTTATTTTATTAATAATTTTTTACCCCTTTTCGACTTACGTGGCACTATCTCGTGGACCCAACGATGGTTGACTTTTTTTTTCTAACTAGTGCCACGTTGGCAAAAAAGGGTAGAAAATTACTTATAAAATAAGTTCAGGGGTAATAGGACCTTAGTATAATATAAGTGTGTCTCTGGGATTTCGGGCATAGGTTGAGGGGTACTTGTGCATTATCCCTTTAAAAAATATAAGAATGTACATCTATAAATTTATTTATTTTTTTTAAAAAAAAGGGACCAATACTCTTTTTGTGTGTGTCTTTAGCTCCAATTATTGAGACGTGGAATAAGAAATTAATTGGTTCTTCTAAAAATAAAGAAGCCTCTTATTTCTTTATGCTTGCTTAGATGTTTTTGGAATAATATATTTTTGTGTTATGTAACAAAGTAAGGTTTGTATTGATTGTAAAAGAACTTAAAAAAAAAAAGGAAATTAGAAAAGGGAGATTTTAGAGTGCTATTACAAAATAGCTATTTAAAAGAAAATAACATAACTCCTAGCATAATAGTAATGAGATAGTTTATGTTCTATATATAGGCATCTTTAGTGCACAGACTTATACTTTTAATCCAGGTGTTCCAAATATAATTTGACAGTATATCAATTGGATCTTGTATTGTGGCTAGATTCGTAATTGTTTATTTATTAAATAGTAAAAAAATAAATAAAGAGCACACTTATTATTTAAGAAAATATATTTCTAAACACGCCCTAAAAGGTAAGTAAACACCACATATAGTTCTCTTTTTGTCCAAATTTATGTGCTATCGTTTGACTTAACACAAAATTTAACAAAGAAAGAAAAGCTTTTAAAATTTTTGATTTAAAATAAATTTTAAAGGTTTGTACAATATAAATTATCTCATGAAGATGAGAAAGAAAATTTAAAGTTAAATTATTTCTAACAAAACAAAGATTGACATTTTTTCAGATAAATTAAAAAGAAAATATGTCATGATAATAAGACATACGGAGCATTATTCACTAAACCATATCTTTTTGTGGTCCTTCTATATATATTTCCTCTTTCTTTCTTTGATTTGATGATAAAATTTGTGCGCAACTTATTTCATAAAAAGAAAGGTTAATTAATTCAATTCCCTATTTCTTGTTTTACTTTGATTTTCTCTTCTATGTTCTGTTGTTGGAAAATATAATATCAAAAATAATAATACGAAATATAAATAATTCAATTTTAAATATATATGAATATTTAAAATATTAATTATATTTTAATCTATAAAAAAAAAGGCATGTGTATGTTTTTATAAAAAATGACAGGTGAGTGAACTCAATCTATTTACCACATCATTCTTTTGTGGTGCATTTAATTCACTTTAAAAATTATAAAAGGATATTTAAGCGCTCGTGTAATTTAAATATTAAAATAAGTTATTCGATCAAATTTAAAGATGCTTTTTATGTTATTTTCTCTAAAAGAAATATAGTTGTCAAAGAGTCATCTTTTTTGGAGAAATTGCAACAATGAAGCATTTGGCAGTGTATGTTATTCTTTTACACCCTCCTTATCACTTGTCCAAGTATTTATGTTTAATATTAACATTTATTTATCATCATACTAATATTTATCTAATTTTTAGGATTATTATTTTGCTAAATAAAAAGTTGAGTACTATATTAATATATTGTGAAATTTTAATTGTTCCTCAACAATTTTTTTGGTTGTTAAGGCCAAACGTCCACTACATCAATAAGAAAAATTCAAAATGACGAATATAGATTATGTTGAGATGGTTGAAATTCCTCTGTCCTTAATCAGACGTCATTTCAGATTTTAAAAAGAGAATAAAACTTAGGAGAGAAAAGTGTTTTATACTAGCAATCTTGATTTGTATAAACCTTGTGTTCCAGCTGCAAGTTGGAGAGACAATTTTATGTTTCATGGCTCCGAATCCTCCCAGTCTACAAGAATTTCCAACTCCATGCGGATAAATATTTTCATTTCTTAGTAGCTCAGTTGGTTGACTATTTAACAATGGAGTATGCTTAATTGCTCTCATGGATCCAATCTTTTTCAATTTCAGATAGTCAATCAATTGAGCTACTAAGATTTCTCCGAACAGTATACTCCAGAAGTAATATTAAGCATAAATAAATCATGTGTCATGGTATTTCAGTATATTTATTATCCATTAAATAGAAGTTCTTGCATTACAATCCCCACATAACTAGAATGTGAACCAAACGAACCCTAACGTTTAGATTTTGTAGTGAGATAGATTTGAAGTTCCATCAAGTCCTTTCTGGCTGAAATGATCATAGAAGTCCTTCAGTGTCGTTGCACGATACTTTGGAGGATTGTTTTCTGATAGTAACTCCTCAATTGGTCCATAGAGTTTGGAAGATGGCAATGGCCCTGAGCTAAAAAAGCTTGCTATTGATATTCTTGGACCTATTTTGTTTGACAATGCTCTATGATCTACACTTTTGTACTTGTCATTTGATATGAGCTGAAAAATACAAAATTCACACAAATATAATAAAAGTTGATTATGACCCTATTTATACTCCTCCTTCACCTACTGATTATAGATCCTGAATTCGATTGGTTAAGAAGTAAGAATAAGAAAAATACTTGTTTAATACATACACGTGATACTATCATACTCCTTCTTTCGCCTACTGTCTCTAGATCCTGAATTCTACTAGCTAGGAAGTAAGAATAAGAAAAAGACTAGTCTTATACATACATGTGATACTATCATATTCCTTCTTCACCTACTGACTCTAGATCCTGAATTCGACTGGCTAGGAAGTAAGAATAAGAAAAAAGACTTGTCTTATACATATATACGATACTATCATACTCCTTCACCTACTGACTCTTGATCCTAAATTCGACTAGCTAGGAAGTAAGGATAAGAAAAAGACTTGTTTATAAATACATGTGATACTATATATATATCATACTCGTTCATCACAAATGTACTGACTCTAGATCCTGAATTCGACTAGCTAGGAAGTAAGAATAAGAAAAAGACTTGTCTTATAAATACATGTGATACTATATATCATACTCGTTCATCACATATGTACTGACTCTAGATCCTCAATCCGAATGATTATTAAGAAGTAAGAGACTTGCCTGGAGAACATCTCCGATATTGATAACTAAAGCTCCAGGTGTAGGAGGAACATCAACCCAATGATTGTGATGAAGAACTTGGAGACCTCCAATATCATCTTGTAGAAGGATTGTGAAGAAATCATTGTCTGTATGTTTGCTAAGACCTATGGTTAAATCTGGCTGTGGACATGATGGATAGTAATTGCACAAAATGCTAAGACCCTCTGAACATTCCATTTCTTTGAGATGACTTGTTTTTAGACCAAGAGACTCTGAGAGTAACTCAAGCAGAGTGCATCCCATTTTCATTACATGGTGTGAGTACTCCATTACTATTTCCCTTCAAGAATGTAAGTAATAAAGTTTATACAAATAATAAGTTTTGAAAAGAAAGGTATACAATATGCATCATTTCTTATTAGTTTAGTTATTCCATGTGTATTTTAGTTTAGGCATAATATATAAATATGACCCTTAACTTGGCGTCAGTTGACAATTATGACTCTTAACTTTGGAAGTGTACAAGTAGACACTTAAATTTGTATAAAATTGAACAAGTAGACACCCGTGTCTTACATGGCATACTACACGAAGGACACAAAATTTTCATGTAGGGTGCCATGTAGGACGAATGTGTCAATTTGTTCAATTTTATACAAGTTTGAGTGTCTACTTGTGTACATATAAAGTTAAGGGTCATAGTTGTCAACTGACACCAAGTTAAAAATAATGTTTATATGTATTATGTCTTTTATTTAATATGATATAGTATCTGACTGAAAATAGAGTTTAAGATATAAATTGATTTTCATTGGAGTACGAGGGTCAACCAACTTAACTTTCATTGTGAATTCAGACAAATTCTTGAATTTTTCTAAAATTAGACTTACATATTTGAAAATCATGCTTACAAAAAGTACTAACTCACAATAGTTAATAATTCAAAATAATCTACATATAAAATATGGTTAATGAAACTCTTTGACTTTTCAAAAAGTAACATATAATAATATCACATAAAATGAAATGGACGGCGCATATTATTGATAGACATGAAAGAAAATACTAAAGCAATAATTGAAAATTTAGGTTCATTGAAACAACCAACACATCATCATCGAATGGTATCAAACATTTTAAAACATCCCAAAATGAAAAGAGCGTGATATAAAATGAAGACAGAGTAATTTTCCGAAAATACATACCTGCAAGCCTCAGGCAATTCCTCAGGATTAAAAGGCTCAGGACCCATAGTAGAATAAAGTGAGTCTCTCCAATTTACTGCTAAAGCCTTAGGGTTATACAAATCAAAATTGCTATTATACACCACTCTCCGTGTATAATCGCGATGATAATATTTCTTCTTAACGTCAATATCTTGCTCGAAGAAACCTCGTGCTCCTCGTAGCATTTCATCCAGGACTGACATCGGAATACCATGATTGATCACTTGGAAGAATCCCCATGTCTCTGAAGCATCACCAACTTTTTTAACAATCTCTTTGTGCTTGATAGGATCTTTATTGATGTTTTCGAGATCTATTATTGGAAAAACAAAACGTGTTTCCTCCAGGCTCGGGGAAGGCCCCGAGCCTGAAACCTCTGGATGGATGAATATCCGAGGTACTTGAGTAATTCCAGCATCAACAAGGCCTTTAACACCGGCTTTCGTGTCATCAAAGGCTTTTAGCTCTATATTTTTATCATAGTTTGATGAGGACGT